GTCTATTATATATATATATATATATATATATATAAATATATAATAGACGTAATAGAATAATATATAATGATTATAATAAATAATCTTTTCACAGCAAATCATGAACATGAATATAATAAAATCAGGAGTGTATAATAATAGAGTATTATTATACACTCCTGATAAAATGACACAACGTGTCGCCTCCTGCGCAATAAAATTGCAGATAATACGCAGGTAAAATATGAATAACAATGAATAATTTAACTCTCCTATATAAATATATAATTAATCTATTATTATACACTCCTGATATAATGGTAGGCGATGTGGGTGGGAGTAGTGGTAGGCACCTGCTGTTCCTCGTAGCAAGCATGGCATCTTGGCTTATCACACCTCACACTCTGTGCTTGCCACGTACCTGCACTCTGAGCTGGTTGAGAGAGCGTGACTTCTGGCCTGGGTTTACGCACCGACTCTAAAATCCACTAAAATCACACTCGACAACGCTATAGCAGACGCCGCGCGTGTGTAAACTGCCGGAGCGTTGTTCCTCATGCTTTCGTACGCTATCCGTGCGTATAAAATAACCAGCAAACGTTTCCTTGGCGTCACGGAAGATCTAGCTTGCAATGCGTGAGCTCTCGTCGGCTTGTATTTATATATTTTTATATTATACATTATGCGCCTCAAAGGTGTGCAAATATGTACATGTATAATAAATGAAGTCACGAGTCTTTCACAAAGTAAAGGGTTCTAATTAACATAAACATAAATTCACATGCTTGATATTGTCCGGACGGCCATTTATTATCGTTTTAGAATATTACAAAGAATACAATACGTAATTTCAACAGAGCACGACACTGATAACCAACGGGGCACACCTATGACATGTGTAAGCTTGCCACAGCACGTACTAACACATAGGAAGTACATTAATATATTTACGTCATGTACATAATTATTATTTAAGTCTATAGCGAGTAATGTATGGGACTTTTCACGCGTTAATCATTCAGCACATATACATAAGACTACTGATCAGTCGATGTGACGGCCATAATCAATGACTTTATGGCTTTGCCCACACCCAGACGTCTCAGGATGATCTGAAAGTGCTTGGCCGATGACTGAAGTATGCCATCTTCGTCCAAATCTCTCACTGGAAAACAAAATGGGTATCCTTCATCATTACTTATGTAATTACTTGTGAAACTATTCCTATGTACAGCAGCATCCTGCAGTCCTTTACAGCGAGCCACTGTAGAGAACAGACCAGCAGCATTTAGCCATGTTGGCAAGGGCATGCATGGCAAGGCAAGTGCCAACTAGCAAGGAGTTTTTGTTTCGATAGTTGCAGTCCTATGCCAGATAGAGCAGTACTGCATGCGAAATGTGCTTGGGGATCAGAGGCAGATCCAGGATTTTTTAAAAGGGGAGTGTCCAGGAAGAAATAAAGGGCACTTTTTCCTGCTTAATTTTTCTGGTGTTTTAAAATTGTGTTTAAATTTTTTTTTTAATTGATGCATTCTGAGAGCATCTGAGCAGGAATTGTTTAGAGCACTTTGCAATTAAAGGGGAGGTCCGGACCCCCCGGACACCACCCCTTCCCTAGATCCGCCCCTGGGGATATTCATTCTGGTTTCACCATGACAATCTCACGCAATCATGACATCAGCGTAACATCGGTACGTATTCTAGAACGCTTTCGTGTTAGGCGATGGGAAATACTTCAAATGCTGTCGATCGATGCTCGGATCACTGCTCACCTGATTTTGAAATCTGTACTTCTAAATGTACTTTGGGAACGACGACGGCTTCAGGTTTAATGAATAAGTTCCAGACGACTGTCATAACCGGCCTAGATCGAACAGAATTAATTTGAGAACAGAACAGAACAGTCTTACTTTACATAAACTCTATACATGAAACTTGGTTTCTATTAGGTATTGTCTTCAAATTAATCCCCAGCAAGAATGTGCGTTTAAAAATTACATATTTCAATATATTAATAATTAATACATGTTAAAGTATATTCAGTACAACTAGCATTAACGAAGCTACGATTTTTGTTCAACCCACCCTATGCCACTTGGGTGCATAATTTGAATTAGATTGCCATGGATATCAGCAGGAAAGCTGACGACATCCGGAAATGTATCTCGAAAATCGCAGAAGGTGCTTTTCCTCCTGGCAGACGACTCAGCATAGCTGCGAATCACTCTGAACACACCCAATAGATCATTGTCAGACTCAAGCCTGCAACAAAAACACTCACTAAATCATTTCAACAATGGTACTAAAAAGACGTAGCAAAATCAGATGATAATAAAATACACTTACAGGATGATAGAAAATGAGTTTTTAATTGCAAAATCTATAATTCTACTAGCAAATATACTTCATTTGTGAACTAAATTGTGAATTCCCGAATGTTCCTAAATGTTCTTAGTGTTTCATTCACACCACTAAAGCTTTTTTTCTCTTGCTCTAATATGTGTGGCTTTTGGGTAGATAGTGTGCACTGATTTGGGATTTTTGCCCTCTCTGAGTTTGACCTCTGATCATGATGCCATGGTGAGTGCCCACTAAACAGAGTCGAGTATTGCTTACACATATGACAAGTATTCAAAAGATCAAGTATAAAAAATACATACTGATGGAGAGCTGTCTTTAAATCTTCCTCCACGGTGCCTACTGTTTCCACGGTCATTTCTGATATGGTACGCCGGCAAGCCAATCCAGGTTCCCCGCACTGAAATGCAAATAGGCTATCCTGATACACAATAGCATTTATTTATGTAAAACCCACTACATGGATTTTGTCACATCGGTGTTTTGACGTAATTCAGGCGCGCCATGCAGAAAATACACAGAAAAATAAATTAAAAAAGGAAAAATATACATTCCCTAATGCTTATGCCATGCTTTAGATAAATACTGGGCCACAGATATATACGAACGTGAGTGTCGTGGCCATTATTCACTCTTGTGTGCCATACTTCAATATTATTATGCTAAACAAGATGAATGTTTGTGTGCTATTTCATGCAACATCCAACTCACCGGCAACTTCTGTTCTTCCTCGACAAAACACAGGCAGAATTGGATTTGTTTGCAGCTGCCAGAGATTCTTCGTTGCTTCTTGTATCTCACATGTGATGAATCTTGGTGTAAAAAGCATTGAATGAAAAGCTGTTACACAATGTGTAAGGTCTAAATAATTGCTTACCAAGGTATGTAACACAATTTGGGTAATTGCAAGATTTGAGATGATATATAGGGTAAACACCTGACTGCACTTCTAGTAGCTTTACTGAAGAAAAAATACAAAATTGTAAGAATTTCATAAGCACAGTCATGGCAGACAGGAATTTACCTCGAGGTAGCGATTTCGATGATGTGTTGCTGATTGTCACTCCAGTAAAGTTGGCCAATTGCAGCAGCTGAATGGAAAATGAATCACTTGTTATGGAAACAAAAAATTCAGAATGAAAGTCATATCAGGCATATATAGATTTCACATGGATGTGCAAACAACATCGTACATGGCATCTGAAATAATTGTACATGCTCCACCCCATTACAATTTGAATAATTTCACCAGCAGTAAGATAAATAGTTGAATATGGTCTCAAATAATATAGATATATAGTGTAGCAATCTAGTATTAACCTATACTCAGATTTAAACTGTTCTAGTCTAAAACTAAACCTGGTATATCCGCATTTCATTACAAACTTTATTATTAGTTTATAGTGCATATCAGCTACACTCATATAGTATTAGTAATACAATAAAATTATAAATTAGTTGTAATGTCATTATCGGTCATATGAACTAGTATTATTACAAAGCCATATGCACCTGTCGTTGCAGTTCAGCATCCGTCAGTTTAGTAGCTTTGCCACTAGCACTGGCACTGCAGATGTAAAAATAAGATAATGCTAGTACTAGTAGTAGGGCTCATAGGGTCTATGTCACCCATGGTACTGCCGGAACGTACCCTGGTAACTATCTGATATGGTTAGGGTTAGGGTTAGAGTTAGGGTTACGGTTAGGGAATAGGCGTAGGCGACTCCCTAGACTCGTTAGTGGAGTAGGCGAGGTACGGTCCGGCATATTAGATAGTACCAGGGTACGTTCCGGTAGGAGTAGAGGCAGTAGCCTGGGCCGGGGACATAGACCCTCTCAGCAGTAGTAGGCCTACTCAGTAGTACTACTACTAGTACTAGATATATCCCTAGCCCGACCAGGCTGTGCGACGGATTGTCTACTATACAATACTATAGGTATTGTAACCCTAGCAATACCGTTTCTTGGAGCTAGATATATCCCTAGAGTAGGGTATGATAATTTTTGAAAATAATCACAAACAATTCAATGAAATGTAGGATTTTAACAACAATGAATGCATGCATAACATGCACAACGCAGTGAGATACTACGGCGAGGAACTTGCATGCAAGCTCATGACCCCATGGCCATGACCATGTAACATGTTCATTTGATTTATATCCTTACCAATGTAGGCCTAGTCTTTGAAAGAATAAAAACATAGATAAACACGGATTCACCATCAAAGAAGAGAATTAACATAATATCCATGCATTCTACTTTGGTAAGAAATTATTTCGCAGTCGAGTGCACGTTTCGTCTTTACAAATTGCACTGCAACGTACGTTAGTTTGTCATCTGGCTGATGATCGTCTACGTCCTTTTCTAGATTTCGGATTTTTCGTTGAAGTACATCTACATCCTTACTGAGTTGCTCAGCTTTCTGCTGATAGTTTTGAATTTCTGCATCCATTTGATAATGTCGATGTAATATCGTATGAAAATGTTGGTATTTATCTCAGATGTTTGTTCAAAATAGCCGATACTAGGATATCCAAATAATGTTATTTACAAACAAACTTGCCGCCAGATTTCCCAGCGAAAATGATAACATCCTTGTATCGTATCCCGTATGCCTAGTATATATTTAGACTGGTACTCGCTCCCACCTCGAATACTCGATAGGGGGGATATCGGGGTCCCACCTAAGCCGATAGGTGGGACCGGGTACCAGTCTAGTATATATTACCAGAGACTGGAAATGAGCATATTTTTGGCCAGAATTATATAGATGTAATATATACATTTAACTACAGTACACAAATTTAACACTGATGCGTCGTATTTAGTGTTTAAATGTAACGTCTTATGTGTATTTATTATCTGTCAAAATAACCGATATTGAAAAATGTAATAGGGGATGCGCTTTTGTCGAAGCATAGCGGCAAACATGGCGGACGAAGGTAACTAAATTTGGATAAATAGAAATTAGTCGTCTATCGCTACGTACCTATTTATTGTTGACGGACAGAACGAGTTAATAAGTACCAGATGATGGTGTGTCACATTTAAACATACTTGGTCAATTGGGCACTGTTAGGATTATGCGTTTATAAGCGTGGCAATGTCACTTCTAATCAATCGCTCACTAATCTCTTCTTTACTTTAATAATTTGTACAGAGCTGCTTGAGGATTCGTCTGATAGTGGTGCCGTATCCCACAACATCGTACAGAAGAATATTCCTCTGAAGCTAAAGGGTCGTGGTCGAGGCAGGGGTCGCGGACGCGGGCGAGGACGGGGCAGGGGTCGAGGAAGAGGTCGTGGTAAAAAGAAAGTAATATCCAGCGAGGAGGAGGAGGATGCTGATCCGGGAGAAGCTCCAAAGCAGCAGGAGGAAAATATGCAGGAGGAGGAAAAGGAAGAAAAAGAAGAGCCAATGACGGTGGAGCCAATTCAGAAAGGTACCGGTAGGTTTTATAACTGTCATTCCATAGCCCACATCGATCTGCATTTTCACTGTGATTTGTAACATTTAGCATTATGAAGGAGACTTTATTTCTCAAGCTTGCTGCTGTAGTATTGTGACCATCAAAAAGAGGACATTCTCAATATTAGTAATGATTCACCTGACTCGTGGAGTCCAGTTTACATACTAAGCAAAGGTTACACTGAATCACACTAAAAGTAAAATGGTAGAAAAACTGAGACAGATAACCAATAAGAATTATACTTGTCGCTGAGTTGACACTGGGATTGTTAAGAAGACACTATGGTTTTTGGTTCCCTGACTTTTCTGTGATAGCAGAATGGCTCATGTCTTGCAGAGCTAGAGATGAAAAACCTGCCACAGACACTGATGGACAGGGGGCCGCCGGAACCGACGCACCAGTCGCAAAAGCTGCGCTGGGACTACAAGGTAAACGGGTCCGACCGACTGATGCATTTGTTCCCTCTCCTACGTCTACATCCACTTTAAAACCGGATAGGCCGCGCACACAGAAGTAGTGTCTAGGAAGTTTCCTAACTCTAGGTGCACGCCTGTGGTTATGCAAAAAATCTCCTTGATTGAAAAATACTCTTCACCTTAATTACTTTCTTATAGTTGCTACTCCTGTTTTGTCATTCACCTCGCAAACCAGACGAACGAGATAGTCTTTCAAGAGTTTACGAGAAACCTGATTAAAATAACGTCCTCATAAAGGTTTGGTGATGTACGCAAGACAGTGTTGTTGTTGCGCCGAACAAACTGTCATATCCTCGTGGATTACCGCATTGACTCTAACGTATTTTACGGCTTGTTTTCATCTATCGTCTCTGACCGTAAGTTAGTAGATTGTTTGCGGTCAAAGCTAGGACAAGACGCTTGTATGTTTTTGCAGGAATGTTATTCTCATATTTATTAGTTTCGTGTAGTGAAATGTCACTGACTTTTCTTGTAGGTGCATCTGATCGGCCAAAAAGTTGTTGATCCGATGATACACTGCTGTGAAAAATGTACCCTACCGATCCTGATATATGGAAGAATGGTAATATGGTGTTACATCGTATTGTATTGGTAAAATAACTAGGCACATACTTGCTAAAAGCCATGAAGCAATTTTCTTGTGAGGTTTGCAGATGAAACTTGATTAATTTAGTACAGATGCATGCCTACACTCTTTTCTTATAAGCAGTTTCATAAAATAAATGAGAAAAATTCACACTTTAGAGAAAATATGGTAAAAGGCGTAATATGAATTTTTATGAGCAACAAATAGGTCATATGATATGAGATGGTATGATGAGAGTGGAGTACTGTGTTTGCGAAGATTTTTAATTTCCAATCTGCAGATTCCATGCAAGCACGTGTTTTGCTTCGACTGTGCAAAGAGGACTGATAAGCATTGCATGAGGTATGTGTCCTGTTGCTACATCTAGGATGCTCTAGCGTTGGCCGGTTCATTCCCCGTGCATATGTGCTACATGTATATCAGTCACGTACAGTGTGGCATGAGCTTTAATTTTGTTTGACATGTGGTTGCCACTGCCTGGAAATCAATTAGGCGTGGTGCAAATCGTTCCAAAATTTGCACATAGGTGGCGCCACATTGTTATTGGCAGTATTGTGTTCAGTGCAATTTTTAATCCTTTGAGTCCCAGAACTATTTGCAAAATTTCCACGAAAATTATTACCAATAGATTTTTAA